GTAGTTAATTTAATGGTGGTAATACATATAAGATTGTATATAAGAATATAGTACAGGAGGAAAGACAGATATGAAGCAATTTTAATCTCACGGTTTAAGGGAAGACAAAGAGTGTATACACCTACGCCATTGTGATCGATTCTCAGCCATGTCACCCAGAGTCGCCAACCATTGGTTATGATAGTCGCGCGAACCCCAACCAAGTAGTCTGCATCTACCGACATGGCTCAAATTCGAAGTTAGTGACTTCAAGCTCTGATGTCACGTTTTGGTTTGGCCGCCACCAACTCTCTTCCAACCATCCTCAATAATAGTCAGCATAGCGCAAAGCCAAACGAGCTTTTTGAATCCGTGCTGAGATTTCGTCAGACAACAACCTATTAGGGCTGATCAGACTTCCAAGATAAGTGAAGTTGTAGACGCGTTCGACTACTTCACTCCCTATCCTTAGTTCGGGTGTTGACGCAGGCCAGTCCTGGAGTAACAATTTACATTTGGATGGGGAGAAACGCATCCCAAACATCCTGGCATTGTTACTCAGTTCTAACAAAAAACTGCATTTTGTCAGCGCCTTCACCAAACAGGACTATGTCATCTGCGTATTCTAAGTCGATAAGTGGACCTCCTGGTAGAAGATAAGTGCCCGAGAATTCAGTTAACGAGTGTGTTATTTCCAGCAATAGGTCTATAATGAAGTTAAACAAAAATAGAGATAGTGGACAGCCTTGTCGGACACCACTTGAGGTTGTAAAACCAGATGACAGTTCACCATAAGCTCTGACTCGACTGGTAGTGTTCCAGTAAGGAGCCTTCACAACGTTTATGTACTTCTGAGGTACACCTTTCAATGACAGACACTGCCACAGAACCTCTCGGTCTACAGAGTCATATGCTACTTTTAAGTCAAGAAAACAATTGTCAACCAACATCAAAGTCAGAATGTTCAATACGAACGTCAAGACAGTTCTACTGTACGGAGCTAAAACGTAGAGAACTACTACAACCATCATCAACAAGGTACAAATATTCATAAACAGTTGTCTACGCAAAATACTCAACATTCACTGGCCGGATACCATCAGCAACAGACTTTTGTGGGGGAGGACAAACCAGCTTCCAGCTGAAGAGGAAATTAGGAAAAGATTTTGGAAGTGGATCGGACATACATTAAGGCAATCACCAAACTGCATCACGAGGCAAGCCCTAACTCGGATTCCGGAAGAGAAGCGGAAGACCAAAGAACAAATTACGCCGGGAAATAAAAGCAGATATGAAAAGAATGAATAACAAATAGAGAGAACTGGAAAGAATTTCCCAGGACAGGGTTGGATGGAGAATTCTGGTGGGCGGCCTGTGCTCCTCCATGAGGGGTAACAGGCGTAAGTAAGTGTAACTTGTGAAAAATCGATATCACTTTAATACGAGCAAATACTACCAAAGACGTATTGGGAGTGTAAAGCGACGACTAATTGTTCTCAGGACACAGAATAGTAGTGGCCAAGTTTGGTAGCGTTAATAGATTTATGTGGTACAACACATTCCCAATGTAATGGCCAAATGTAAAAGCGGAAAAAAGGAATTTTGATGAAACTCCCTGTACAGAATTATCACTTACAAAATAGTCAGATGGAATGTTAAGACCAATGAATATAACAGAACCCAGGAAGACAACCAATCACGAATAAGATAATCAGAAAGAGCTAATTTGGCAATTATGGAATAATACCCAAAAACTCACTTACACTTGAAGTAAACGCTGATGATCCTGGTCAGGACATCAATTTAAGTTTCTCAATTTCACCATGTAGTTCAGTCAGAGCAATACTAACTAGGCATATATATAAACTACGTATGTTCTCAAGAACTGTACTGTGTTAGTTTAACTAACTCCATATGGAATACAGATCAGACAAACCTTACTACGTCTGTTACCTAAAATCTGCGTTACATAAAACAAATGTGGTCGTACAGGGCACTCAAAATCACATATATTTAAAATGTAGGTAATTGGTTTCAATTGAAAAAGTTTGATTACACTCCAAAATAAACCTGAAATTAATCTTTTGTTATCCAGTCAACATAAGTAAACGAAGATGAAAAACCATGAGAACGAAAACAAGGGAACATTCTATAGCTAAATTTGAAAAAGATATATAGCCTGGGTATAGAGTTGTTTACGGCTTGAAAATAATACGGTGGAAACCTGATGTTATCATAAATAGTCACAAAGATAATATCAACCGGAAATCTGAAAGCTTTACGACTTAAACATAATAATGACCGTTTTCTAGTTGTTGAAGTGCCAAACTAGCAATTAATGATTTGTTTTTAACAACTAGATTGAATTCTTTGTAGAAAAAATACACTCTGATTCACGAAAAGTGAATGAAGCACGAAAAACGCCCATGATTTGTGTCTCCAATACAAGAATAACCCGAAGAACACGAGTGAGTTTATCGGGCTTTTACGATACCAGTGTGAGAAAGTAGTTATGAAATTTATTACAGAGAGACTAACCAAGTTAAGCAAAAGCTGGTTAAGCCACACATATGAAAGTCAACTGCTGTCAACGTACGATCTCAACTTAGCTAGAGAGATAATGTTACGAACTGTAACGCAACGCTAAATATGGGGAATTTAGTTCAGGAATAACAAATCAAACCGAAGAATAAGAATTATAGTGACACTTGATTTTTCGGGTAGAAGAAATCCTAATCCTATTACTAATAAGTGGTTCTGTGTTAGTACTATGGAGATATCATTTGGAAATGAAAATCAATGAAGCAAATGTATGACCCATACCAACAGTAAAATGCAGGTGACGCTGTTAATTAATGGTTTTTTTAACACATTCAACTAGTATTTATGGTTATAACTGTTTTTTCTACTCGTTTAGCTAACCGAGTAGCATCTTTAACTCTGACATGATATCTCTCAAAGACAAGAAAAATAGTTTCAAATTGTTGGACTTGTTACACTGATTGGCCAGTAATGTAGAGCTAAAGACTTGGAAATAAAACATTTCAGGGAACTACACACCATGGGTAGTGTAACAAATTATCCATTGTTAAATTATTCTTCCTAAAAATAGCAATAAACATATATCATTGAAAACAAACAACTACACAAACTTAGCCTTTGTAGATTACGATGAATTATTTGTCACTTCAGCGAAACATTCTGACACATTATACGTGGATTTTATTTCTAGGTCATATTTCTTGATATAATCTACAGAGGATGTCTGAGGTGTTTGTATGAACTACTTTACGGCAGTGAAACATGGCCGATAAGAGTAGAGGATATTCGTAGGCTACTAGTATTCGATCATAGGTGTCTTCGACGAATTGCTCGTATATCCTGGGGCCACCGCGTAAGTAATGCAGTTGTTAGAAAACGGATACTAGGTAAGGATGGTAAATCGATTGATGAAGTAGTGAAGCTTCATCAGTTGAGATGGATGGGACACGTGTTACGTATGCCCAACCACCGACTGCCCCGACGTGCAATGCTTTATGGTGTAGGAGTAGGTTGGAAGAAAGCTAGGGGCGGCCAGACCAAAACATGGCATAAACCCATGAAGTCGCTGACAAGTGGACTGGGCCATGTTGGTAGGTGTAGACTACCTGGTTGGGATTCGCGAGATGATAGTAATCGATGGTTAGAGACCTTGAATGACAGCTCAAAAACGTTTGCAATAGCGAAGGTGCATCCACTGTTTGTGTTCTACCAAATTCTAATCTTCTGAATTCTTCATGTCCGTATCCTTTTTCTCTTTCCAAATTTATTTCACTGGATTATACTCCTTCAATAACATCTTTAATCCCTTATCTTTCACATAATACTTATACTCTTACTACTTCTACCACTATGGGATTTGAATCGACAACTTCGTCTATGTGCTAATGTGGTATGGCAACTCGAACTGATGTACATACGTACGAAGTTCTACGTTGTAACTGACTGACTGATGAACTAATGATTCCTTTGTACTTGGTTTATGCCTGATTTCGAATTCCAAATACGATACGTTCGTTTGTAATCACCTAGTTCTTCTTGATCCAAATTACATTATTTCGGGGATTCCTAGTTCGTACAACAATTCAAGTACTTCTAATTATCACACTAACTTGATGTCAAGTATTTTTAACACTGCATATATAAACTGGATTAGTCCTCAAAGGCTTTTACGATCATGCTCAGGCATTAGGCTAGATATCATGCAAATATTTGGGTCTAGGTAAATATACATATTATTAACACTAAAAAATGTGTGGACAGGATTAAACCAATGACCGAGGGGAAACAGTCAATTCTACTTTATGTGCAGACATAAATTGGTAAGTTATCAGCATGAGGAGTTTGTTGAGATTGTAGTATCTTCACGGTTGAAATCACGATTCGATCTAAGCTAGACCATAATTGAAAACCTGGAATCACTGGACGTCCCTTTTGTCTTAGTAAGGGACTCCTCAACGGTGCGCGTCTATAATCCCACACGCGGAATTTAAATGTGAAAATACTACAATCTCCACAAACCCCCCTATACTGATAACAATCTTCCTCTCACTAGTGGCCGGCGTCAAGATGTTCTGGTGAGAAGCTGTGACCAGTGGAGTCGATTCCGCGCCAGGTGTGACAGATATTCACAATAGTCAATCGACGAAGGATTGTGCAAAATTACGATTTATTGAAGTTGGACACTGACACCATTCGATACCGGCCGTTGTTTGGATGTTGAGTGCTCGCGCGAGAGATCGAAGGTCCTGGTTCCAAGTCCAGCGTGAGGGGTTATGAAAACGCACTGTTGATGAGTCTGATACTAAGACGAGACGGCTGTCTAGTGCTTCTAGATTTTCAATGTCTAGCTTAGATTGACTCGCGATTTCAACTGTGAAGATAAATCGGTAAGGGCTGAAAAATTCGATTAAATATTCATAGAGATTTGGGGCAACATGTTCAACATATGATAAACTCAAAAAACAAAGGTCATGTGTTAGCAAAATATTCTGGATTTCCATAAATCAGGTTATTAAATAAAGCGTAAATAATAATATACAAGGAAAGGAATCATGGTAATAAACGCATATGTATGTTTGTAGTATAATTAATCTCTGTATGCAATCCATATGATATTGAATAATCTAGTTTACCATTCATTCAAATAAACATATCAAACTATCGTAATAAAGAAAAAAAGCACCAGATTCGTATTTCAGTTCAAATTACTTTCAATTTCAGAATTTGTGGCATCGGATATCCTTCTTGCTAAGCCGGCATTCTTCTTCTGAACTTCTTTAAGCCATGGAGCTAAATTCTCATCTTTCAGTTTCAAAATTTGTTTCTGCTTTTTCTTCATAGCAGCTTCTTTTAACCATTCGGGAGCTCCTTCACCGTTCTTAGACATGACGTCTTCCCATCGTTTTTCCACGTCTTTCTCTCGTTCTTTTTGGGCCTGTTTCTTTATGACCTCGCTTTTCCACTCATATGTTTGACTCATTGTTGGTAGATCCACCGACGTGCAACCGAAGTAAGATAAAAGGTCAGACGTGAAAGTGTAGCTTCATTCCAATAAATATATTGAAATTAAATGACCAATCAACTGTTGAATCAATAATTAAACGGGAAGGAAATTAAAGTATGGTAATCAAGTTATGTATTATAACAGAAATTATCAACCAATAGTAATATTGCCTTAATAGACCAATTAATTATTAGCAATTTATCGATATTCATGGCCTGTTTCGCTCGCACTATGGATAAAATTTAGAACACGTTCATCTACGTTTCCTTCATATAGTCGCAGAACGGAAACCTCCAAGTATTCCTCGTTCCTATATGTTGGTATTGACACACTCGTTTTTTAATATAATTGTTAGGATGAATATTACTAAAATGCCTAAATTAGTTCTGAAGGGGTTTTTGTGGATATTATATTAATTTTAATAGTTGAGACCATGAGTCAATTGAAACCAGACCACCATGGAAAATCTGGAAGCACTGGACGGCCGTTTCGTCCTGTTGTGGGGCTCCTCAGTAGTGCGCACCCACGATCCCGCCTTGCGAGATTCGGTTCAGAACCTATCGGTTTTGCGCGCGACTGCTTAACCTCTAGACCATTGAGCCGGCGTCCAACGGTGTTAATGTCTAACTTCTGGTGAAACAACTGTTACAAGCGTTTGGTTTTCTCACAGGTTTATTCTGTCACATTCTAAAGTCGATATCAGGAAATACAAACAGATCAATAAAATTAAACTGTTGGTTGAAAACTCTCCGGATTATCTTCAAACATTTCAAACCAAATACAGTACAGCTCAGAGTTTAATTGCTAAGACTGACTGCCTAACTGCAACTTGATCCATGGCCTGAAGAGAGCTATACCATAATATCGTGAATTTTATTCAGCTTCTTACAACTATCTGTATTGGTATTTGACGTAATATTGCATAATGTGTACTGGTGTTTGGGAATGATTCAGTCAATAGTTATGTATATATCAGACTTCCATTACTTAGAAATTGACTATCATCACTGTATGTTGAAATACCCCCATAAAGCAGGAAAACTTCAGACCAGAAAGTAACATATAACAGTCATAAGAAAACCGATCATGATTTCCTCCATCTTTGGAAGTGATGATTTTCATGAACAATAAACAAAAAGATAAACACTAAAAAACTCAGAACACCCGTTGCATACAAAATCATCATCTTGTACTCAACTAAATGCTGACTCGTACTCTTCTCGCTTTAAAACCAACTACTTGCTTCATTTCGTGCGTATCTGCAATAGATACTGAACACTCAAGACAAAAAGGGATGCCTTAATTCAGTTCCCTAATTACGTCTCAAATTATCTGCTTTTCAAAGGAATCAAGGTTTATAACAATATAATTTTTGGATTTCTAGTCGATGCAGTACATTGGGTAGACAACTTTAGATGTTTCAGGATGACTGATAAACATAATAGATGTAGTATCCGAGAGTTTGCTAGAGCTATAAATATCAATGGCATTGGGACTGATTTATATTCCAAAAAGAACAGCTAGAATTTTTTTCCCTGACAACTTAGGCCATAGCAATGATGAACGTTTGTCCAATGGTTTGTAAACATAATGTCATGCCTAACTATGATGGAGTAGATATTGAGTTCAATGACTTGATTTGGTTTCTCACACAGATATTAATTTGAAACTACAGTTGAGTATGGAAGAAAAAAAATTCAGCGAGTGCGGGATCGTGGATGCACAGTGCTGAGGAGTCCCATAGTAGGACGAAACGGCCGCCCAGTGCTTCCAGGTTTTCGATGGTGGTCTAGCTTCAATTGATTCATGATTTCAACAGTGAAAAATTTCTTTTCGAGGAAATCGTTTACTTAAGCTGTGCATTCGTATTTATAGTCATATGGTAAATATATGTCTATAGAAAGATAGAAAAGATTGCATCATAAAATGACCTAAGATTTCAAGTTTCAAATGAGGTTAGAGAAGAACAGAAAGTTGAAAATAATTACAGGTCAGGATCATGGAAGATAATTGTCTGCTTGACAGATATGAAAAGAAATGTAAAACATAATGGTCATAATAATAAGTGAATAACAATCACGAAAAATTGTTAAAGGATAATAATAACTGATTAGTCTAAAATTACAAAACAATAATAAAAAGAAACAAGACCGAAGCATACTACATAAGGCAATTAGGGCAAAGGAAAGACGAGAAGTTGAATGTATCGTTTTTGTACGCAGAGTTGGGGTGGAATTGTTGGATCGCCAATGTTTCAGCAGTGCATAACATTTTATTCGGCCTCCCTTAAACCCAGTTCCTTCGATTGAGTAGATTATTTTGAAGGAAGAATCCCCTGGTACAACGTGTTCAGAGTTGATTAAGTGGTTCTGTATTGAACTGGTGGCTATTTCGCATTCTCCTCATAAAAAAACTCACCGGGTAATGTTCTGAAATGCTTTTAGAAAGCGATCACTTTGTGCGGACAATGTGACCTAACCCACAGAAGCAAGAAAATTCATAGATGCACATCTATGTAACCGAAAGCGGGAGCCTATTCTTAACACATCCGTGAATGATAGACTGGCTTGAGAGCACAATATTAAGCCTAGCTGATTAGGTTTTAATAAGGGATTTGGAAATCCGTTCATTCAAAAGTTCGACAGCCGTATCTCCTTTGAATTCAATACTCATAAAAAGAGTTTTCTTTTGAACTGTCGGTGCGTTTTCAGGATGTTATCTTGGTGTTAAGTTCCTACAGACAAATGTAGGTGGGCAACCATTTCTGACGAGTATCTGTCGAAGTTGAAGTAGTTCGTCATCTATTGTGTCATTAAAACATATTTGCTTAGTCCTTGGTTATAAAGAGTGAAATAAGATTTGCTTTCCACTCAATGGGACCCAGATATGGAAACTCGTATACTGACCACTCAGTGTCAGTATTTCATATATATAGATCTTTGTAAAAAAATCCATATGAGTTTCTTTTCACCTGAACATCAAGGAAATGAAGTTCCTCGTTTACTTCTGCTTCCAACGTGAACTGAGTTGAGTGATGACAATTATTGGATCCATCCATAATTTCACTGAGGTCTATATCTTCTTCACAAATAATGTAAGTATCATCCATATGTTTCTTATATGAATGAAGTTTCTCAATTGTTTTCCAGATTCGCTATGAAACAATCAGTCAAGAAGGAGTCCAGTGGTGAAACCATTGCAACTACATAAGTTCGTCTATAGAAATCATTATTAAATCCGAATTGCACATTGAGAGTACATCGTAAAGGTGACTCTTTTAGATAATGTTTTGGGATGTAAATAACACAGTTGTTATTTTCAATATAGTTACAAAAAAACACATAGTTTCTATAATAAATATATTTTTGTTGTAGTCCGATAAGTAGAAAAATTTTATTTCTGTCGTTTCATGACTTAATGTAGGCCACTTTTTCAAAGTAAATAAGTAACCTAATTAAATTAATACAACAGAAGAGTTAAAACGGATATTGAAAACGTAGAAAATGAAAGCTTTCTATAGGGCAATTAACACTCTAAGAAACGCTTTAGTTAGAATAAAAGATACCATCCTGTTCACTTCCACACAAAATTATGTCTACAGATTAGGTTGAGCAGAATGTTATACGTTCTATATTAAAGAGTCTTCCCGTGAGATCTCAACTCCTGCTAAGTAACACTTACGCCATACAAAAAGATCCCCTAATAATCCTGTAGAACAGAAAAATTTACTATTTAAATCAGCAAAAGCAGTACATGCTATTTTCAATAATCACCAGATCCATATTAAAAAAATAAATAGCTTGTAACGGTAAATAAATCCCTAAAATCAATAGCTCTGTAAGTGTTCGACATTGGATGCTGACCACATTAGTTTTAATGGACTCACCTAGCTGAAGGCGCTCGGTCATGCATCCGCACCAGATCACGAGTTGCAATGACATGCTTAACGTCTCCTGCGATCATTAGCTAGTTTAAAGTATCCACTTCTCGATATATTGATAATCTATCAAATATATCTTACAACCTCCTCGCTTCTGACATTTGATTTCACTGGGTGGGTGCGATTCAATTATAGAAGGTATTACTGGTAAATTGTTGTCAAACTACAATACCCGTGGTATCTTCAGGTTCTTAAAACAGTAAAAATATGCGAGTAGCCGAAGCGTTTCATATTATGCTAATCTCTCTGCCCTCAATAAGAAAGAATGTCTGAATATTCATCTAACTTGGACTATTTATCCCAACAGCCACATCTGATTTTATTTATTTTCGACACAATCTACACACACGCACACACATAATTTCAAACCTACTACTTCATATAAGAACTTTCGTCGGAATTTGATGGAATAGTATCATAGTATTTGGGGGCTGAGTTGATGCGAGACATTGAAGAGGAAGAACGTATACATTTTTCACACCCACCTTAAAACACACAAATTAATACAGTGACATGTCATGCAAACTCAACTTGACGGAAATTAACTTAACATAGACATGTTCAGGCCTATTATGATTTTGATGGTACCAAAATACTGTTTTCTTTGTACTACTTAAACTTCGGTTCATTTAATGTCGGTTACTCATTCACTCTGAAGGAGTGGCTTACATTAAGTCACAGAGAGTCAGAAATACGATTTTCCTACTCATTGGGACATAACAAAAAACATATTTATGATTAACTCAATACTCAGTTTGTTTGAATTATCAAGTCCAACCTTGGTATTGATACGTAAACAGTTTCTATATATTCATACATTTACCATACGGCCATAAATACAAATGCACAACTCAAGTAAATCATTTCGTTGAAAAGAACATTTTCGTCGCTGAATTCTCTTTATTTCTATTCAATAACACAATGGGTTATTTTAGTTATAGAAAAAATATCATGGTTTACTCAGTTTGTTTTAGGTAAAAAAAGTCTACAAAATCATATCAACCGGGTTCCACATAAATTTATATATTTCTTAACGAACTTTCCATTGTTTTACAAAATATAAATGCACAACAAATACATTTAAGAAGTCATCAAGGTATATCAGTTACGAATCAAAAAAAGCAACTGCTGATCTAAAATCTCAATTATCAACTTTATCACTTTATCTAGTTCCTGAAACCCACACTCTAGCTTTATAAGTTATTACAATCTACTTAAACTTGGTTTATGGTTTTTCCAATACTCGTCAAGTAGACAGTCAGCTTTCACATTTCTCGTATGTAATCTATTTTCACTTTATTGTTTTTCATCACCCACTAGTGGATTGCGTAACTTTCACTTGATAATTGAATAAAACTTAAGATAACTCATAAAAACTTTCGTCTAACTTTGAACGAATAGTTTTAAAGTAGTTGGGCTTCAAATCAATATAAGATATTAATAAGAAAATTTATATTTGTAAAAATCTCAGCTATTGAATTTAAAGTAAATCCAACATTTTGGTCGGGATTGTGGTCCAACTTTTTTCAAGGAATTATAACCAAACATCAAAATTACCAAACATAAATACATGGTTCACCGGTTAAATGAATGCTAA